TCCATCATCAGTTATCAGGAGAGCAGACAGTCAAAGTACAAGAATTCAAACAAACACAGAGATTCTACTTACAGAGCAGACACAGCACAGATGTTTCCTTCATCGTTCTTCTCACTCATTTGAGCTTTTTTTCATTTCTCTCACTGACACCAAGTAAAGCCCGCCCTCTTCCTCTGAGCACCAGCTTTCCATTGGTTCAAATAGAGTGAGTGGTTAATGTGTGTGTGTGTGTTTGTGTGTCTGTGTGTCTGTGTGTGTGTGTGTGTGTCTGTGTGTGTGTGTGTCTGGCCCCTCACTGGTTTAATAATTGCACACATTCCTTGGTGGCTCCACATTCCTGGTGCCACAGGTAACTATGGCAATAAGCATGGAGACGCACAACAAAGGGACAGCGTGAGGAGGAGGAGACGTTTCAGCAAACACCAATAAGAGAGCAGTAAGAAGGTCACCTGATGCACTGACGTCACACAGGTTATAGTCACCTGCACCACAGAGATCATGTGACCTGGTCACTTTGTGGAATGCAGGAACGTTTAAAAGCTGTGAAATATGAACAAAGTGCAGATTCTGAGTACGTAACATTTACATATCTGACACGAGCAGCAGCTGCATCTGTCTGCACAGATGTGCGGTCCATCTCAGCTGGACAGCCATGTGGTTAATCTGTGTTGTAATCTGTAATCTGAGTCTGCAGGCGGACTGCAGGGCCACAGCAAGGAGCAGCTGCTAACAACAAGAACCACTGATTCACTCCTCGCACAGTTGATCAGTGCAGGAGACGCGCCAGCTGCTGTGTTTCATTCCTCACAGTCCATCTGGAACAATTATTCATCAAAACTATTCAGCGCCTTCAAGGACGTTTCTAAAGCACCGTCTCCATGGGAACGGATAAACCCAGGAACAAAATCAGCAGAAACAGGTTCGCACTGATGCCTCGCAGCAGGAAGGTTTGATTCCAGCATCAGGCCGTGTGTCCTGCTCCCACTGCTCCCACTGCTCCCACAGCAGCATGAATGGTGTCTGTCTCCCTGACAGGGATAAGTGGAGGAGAACAGATGGGATCAGGTCTGAGTTATGAATTTAAAGTAAGTTAGTGCACTAACAGGAATATCTCTGTCTCTCCCCTCGGGGGGCGGGGGG